ATTAAAGACTCTCATACCTGGGCATTTAATGCATCCTTGTCGAGAAGGAGGAAATTAAATGCTCGACAGACCGAGAAGTGAGTTTTAAATACTCGACATCCCGATCAGTTAAAGCCAAGCCCATTCCTCATAAAGGTGAGGGGCACGTTGCCCCATCTCTGACAAATATCTGTTGGGTGGACTATCAGCAATCATGAACTTTTGAAGGTGTAAATAATTCTCAAAAATATATTACAAAGATATGCAAGAACTTCTAAAAAGAACTATACAGTACTTTCTTCTTCTCCTCTCTCAAAAAACTGACTTGATCGTCGGAAGGGATACGCCGAAGAGTACTTTGGCACCCTTCTAACTTGTTTTTTTGTGTCACAGGATTCCCTCACAGTCTTTTAGGACAGGTCAGACGACCCAACAAACAACTCATCACCAATCTTTAGGACTACTTTGTCTCTCTCAACCTACTTCTTGTTGCTAGAACTCACTTTTGGATGGGTCAAATTTCAGTCGGAGGCGATCAAGAATCCTGAAAACAAACCTTCTATTTCGTCAGAATTACTATCTTTTTGAACCACAATTTATCGTGAAAGAGATATGTTTCTATTTTTACTATTGTGCAAAAATTGACAGCCCCTTCACAAAAAAGAAAAAAAATGTACAGGGGACAACAAGGACAACATTAACTGAGAAACAACGAAGAAGTAACACAAGTGGAGAGGAATATCTGAATTGAAGCTACAGGAGGCATTGTACTTACGTACACTTCTTGTGAAGTAAGCTCTGGCCATTGGGTCTAATGGATAAGACTCCACACCAGACCAGATGGGTATGAAAATGACATTCATATGGCTGGCCGCCTGGCTGAGTCAGTGACACCAATTTACAGCTCAACTGATACATCTTTGGATACCATAGGATACCAAAAATAAAAATAAAAATGGGCAACATACCAAAAGTTATAATTTTAAAAATCAACTTAATTATTTTTTAAAATATAAATTTGTAATTACATGAAATAATTCACGATAAATCATGAAATATTATGATCGATCATAAATCATGAATTGTAACTTTATAAGAGACATAACAAACATCTGACATTATTTATTTGATATAGAGTGATACACAAGTAGGACTTTTGGATTATTATTGTACAACACATTTTAAATTTATGTTGATATACTCAATACAAAAGATATTGTGTAATACGAGTCTAAACCATTATGTACCGATATGGTGTACATAATTTGTGTATATAATTTGGTGTATATAATAAACTTAATTTTGTGTATATAATTTATGTAACCATATCATGATACTAAATAGTAAAACTCTTTAATTTATGTAAATAACAAAATTACAAATTGGATTAGTGTTTCAATTTTGTTTAATTGTTTAGTGTAACTGTTTGATTTATTAGAACACGTGAGTAACTGTTTAATATATTATACAATGTTATCAGAACCGGACCGGCAAGGGAACCGGGTCAATGGTTTACTAGTTCAACCGTGGGTCAACTGATCGGACTGGTCATATAATGGAAAAAATAAAATATATATATAATAATGATAAAACATAATAATTTAACTAAAAAATATAAAATATGTCTAAAATGCATAGAATTTACCATACCCAGCAATGTGCAGAATAACCTCAGATCCAGTATCAATTCATGGCATACCCAGCAATGTGAAAAAATAAACATCAAATAATTAAACAAACAACGTCAGAAGGTCATCCAACGTATGTTTTTCTTGTCATTGTCAAATTGTCAGATCCTCCAGTGCTTGAATTGAATGGGCTTATTAGAGACCCATTTCAATCATATTTAACTTGCAGTAATTTTCCAGAATGCTTGAATTGTGCATCTTCGAGTGACAGTAACATAAGTAGTGGTGTTTGCTTGAGTGCGCCTGAATACTTTCTTAGACCCATTTCAACCATATTTAACTTGCAGAAATTTTCCACAATGCTCGAATTGTGCATCTTTGAGTGACAATAACAGAAGTAGTGGTGTCTGCCTAAGTGCACCTGAATAATGAACAACCTCGATGGACGCTTGAGTTGTCGCCTGAGGCAAAGCTGCCTTGCTGTTGCTGCCTCCCAGTCACTTGTGAGAAGAAGCTGCTGCGTCGATCAGTTCACCTTCTCTGCCTTCTGCGAGATTTAGGGCAAAAATGCCCAAATAAAAATTAACGGTTCAAAATTTTCTTTTATTGGCCTTGAACCGTCCGGTTCACAATTTTCTCCAAAAACCTGCCGGTTTGACGGTTTTTGTCGGGTTCCTTCCATATGCGGTTTAACTAGTCTATCGAACCAGTTAAGGTCCCGGTTCACAGTTAAACTGATTCAATTCTGATAACACTAGTATTATAGAATAATTGTAACTAATTAGTGAAAGCGATTGTGTTGTGTAATGTTGATATATAGAGAGAAAAAGGGTGAGAATAAAGAAATAAGGGGAGTGAGAGAGAGAGAAAAAAAAATGGGGGAGAGAGATGAAAAAATTAAATTAAATTTTTGGATATTTAAAAAAATTTATCAATATGAGGGAAAGAGGGAGAGAGAATAGATAAAAGAGAAAATAAGGAAGAAAGAGTGAAAGAGTAAGAGAGAGAGAGAGTAATGCAGTAATAATATCCGTTTAGTCTTTTTAAAAAAAAAATACACTTAGAGCCAAATAAATTTTTTTAATGTAATTTAGCTTAAATAAGTCTAAATTTTTATACCGACTTTTAAATTACGAAAAAAAAAAGTAAAAAAGAATCCAAATTCAGTCCATATTGTGCAGAAAATGTGTACGTCAAGGGACCAGTGTGTGAAAACTTGTATTGAAATCTATGTTCAAACGTTTCAAAATTGAATTCCTCCTTCATATCTTCCAAAGATATTTTACTTTATGTTCTCGTCGGAATGATGCAGATGTTGACGTTGGTGTGTATGATACCTTTCTTTTCTACCCCCATTTTTTACGTTTTCACTTTTTTCCACAGGCCCAAGTCTCCGAAAATTCTCTTCCTTTTTGTGGAATGTTTTGGAAGAGTAATAGGAAATTTCCAGCAAGTGTAAGGATATTTCTACAAAAAAAAAGTCATATATAAATGGTGGAATTGAGGGATTCTAATTGAGCTTTATTGGCTTCGATAATCAGTGACCATAGCTGAACCAAGAGACTTACAAAGAGAAGCTTTGAAGTGACGACCACGGCATTGATAAAAACAATGGGACAATCATGGCACAGTAATAAACCGAACAAGTGGTATCAAAGTTTCCTTAGAATTTTATGTGGAATACAAATATCAAAGCATTGTCTATTACATTAATAATGTGATCAATGGACTCCATTTTTATAAATGGTTTTTATTTTATAAAAATATGGTTTCTTTTTATCATCTTCTTTTCTTTACACAAACGCAACATATTCTTTGTTTTGTCCTCTAAAACCCAAAAGAGCAAAGCATTCAGAGTATTTATCCTCTACTTAGGAACAAAGATATCTTCTTACATTACAAGGATATATGACTATGATACCAAAATGCATATTACAGTACTATAAAAAAAAGATCATAGTCGTAGATTTGTGTTGATTTATTTGGGATCGTTGATCTTAAAAATAATAAAATAAAAAGAATGAATAAAATTCAGAAAAATTATTGTTTTACCTGGTGAAAAATAGAAAGAAATTATCAAAAAATTATTTTTTCATACCATTGTTGGACCCATATTAGCACATCCATGTTCCACATATGGCGCAATATCCGGAGAGTAATAAAAGTATCAGTAATGAGGAATCTTTTTTGGATGGCCACCATTTCAGGAACCTGCCCTCAAAAGGAGATTGATGGATCAGTAAGTTTGGCATCCCTAAAATCAAACCTTGGATTGCCTATAGAGTGTTTGAATTATTGTCCTTGAAAAAAATTGATGTTTGATATTGATTCTCATTAGTGAGAAGGGATAAGTTCGGTAGAAAATGGTCCATGTTACTGAGCTGGACTGAATTTTTGACTTTGGGTACTAACGACATAACCAGAAAATATTTATTTATAGCAGTGATCTCTCAACATTCAGCCACCAATTTGAGACTGCGCAGAGGGAGTGCAGACCTGGATGTAATCCAAAGACTCCCAACCTGCAAATCATGTATGTGGCAATCTACAAGTTGCAGCATGAAGGAGTTCAAGTCGTGGATCCGGGAAGGAATTTGGAACTGCAGCCCCACAATAACCCCAAAAAAGATACAAGTTTAAATAAAATAAATATCTTAAACAAGTTGAATGACTTGAGCAAGAGTGAGATTTTTATTTATCAAAAAAATAAAAAAGAATGATATTTTTTTAACAATCTTGACATATGTAAAATTTAAGTATAGAGGCGGGGGGGGCAGCCTTTATAGATAAGAGTGACCATTTAAGATAACGATAGATGAACACAACACACAAACATGTTTACAATCGACATACAATTAAGTTGATCCGATAAACCCAGTTGTTAAATAAATAAATTCACAAGAGCAAAGTTAATACATAATTCGAATCCAATTAAATAGGATTTGTACACATTATGAAATTAATTATTTAATAATAATTTGTAACACTACACTATTTAATCATTGTATAAATCCAAAAAAGACCCAACCCGTGCCAGGTCCTGCAAGTGTAGACAAGAGGTGTCACGTTTTTGTTTCCTTCTTTTTCCTCAGTTCTTTGTGTAACCAAGCTTTCATGCTTATCACACCGAATCGCCGACATGGACCAAGCAAAGGTTTCTTTCTGAGGACCACAACTGAACTGGGCCCCACTACTCATTCCGTACCATGGCCCGGACAGCAGTAAGGATTCTAAATCTTAAAAATATTTTAAAATTAGAAATTTATTTTTAATTTTCTTTTAAATATTTGATAAAAATATATTAAAACATTTCAAAACAACTTTTAATATTACAAAACAACTCAAAACAAAAATATTTTTGACAATTTTAAAACAAACATTTAATGCTTGCAGCAGTGACCCTTTACACGTACGCACTCGACGCTCCGACAGCCCACTGTATAAATTCTCTCCCCATCCCCCTCTCTTCTCACTCTGCCGCAACCCTAAATCCTTCATTAACCATTTATAGCAATATCTCTCTCTCTCTCTCTCTCTCTCTGTTTCCTTGCAACAAAATTGTTCTGTTCCACCCTCTCATGAGACGAGGGAGATTAATAAGTTGCTGCAATACAAGTGATGGAGAGCCCATACTATGCACCGCCACACGTGGACGCATCTCGGCCGTCCTTAGGCTTCCCTCTTGGGACAGCCCTCCTGTTGATCGTCATTTTCAGCTTGAGTGGAATCTTCTCCTGTTGTTACCACTGGGAAAAGCTCCGTTCTCTCCGTCGATCTTTCTCCAACGGTCTAGATCTGGAGGCAGGTAGCGATGAAGCGCCTTCCAAGCCTGTCGCCACCCACATGGTAAAATTTAATAATTTATTTACCACTCTATCGTTATTTCCATTTTATTTGTGTAAACAGTGTTATAAATTTTAGTTTCAAGATCTAATTTAAAGCGCTCATTGAATAGTTCGAACCACTTCCAATAAATTAGGTTTTTTTAATGAAAAACAATGGTAATTGAATAAATAAATTTAAAACTACCATATTTAGGTAAAAAAAAAAAGTTTGAAAGAAAGGGGAGGATTAATTTATAATAAAAATGAAAAAACAATGGGACCTTAGACGTAATTTCGTGGCTGAGTCTCCATGTCTGATAATTCAAAAGTTTTAAGTAAATATTTTTCATACTCTCTAAACATTAGTCATCCTTATTCTTTATTAGACATATTTTAAACCTTTTGAACTTCGTTAGCTTTAAGAGTTTAAGAGTAGTCGGGGCACCTGGAGCCGAAAAAAAAAAACAAGGGTTATATAAACTTAAATATGTTAGATTTGTGTGTTTGCTTGTGGATTTTGTTAGTATCGACAAATGGATTTTGCTCAAGAAATATTAAATTTTATTAATTATCCATTATTTTTAACAGGATTTAAAGCAAAAGCAGAACCAATGCTTGTCGGTTTTGATGCCGGGAGATCAGATTCCAAAGTTCATAGCATTGCCATGTCCATGTGAGCCTCCAAGACAGGCAAACATCAGTGTACTGGTGAAGCCGCCTCTTGAGTCGACACAAATAACAGTGCCTTTGTACTAGTTTTGGATGCATGCGATATATATACATTTTTTTTTCAATTTTTTTAATGCTAAATTTATCGTGTTTTGATTTTGGACCAACTTATATATAGTGATTGCTACTTAGGATCGCAAAAAATCAATAATATATAAAAAAGGATAAATTTTAATAAATTTATTTATCGATTTTAAATATATTTATTTAACGGTCACCAACATCTTTTTAAAATTTTTACAAATTATCCCTAATTATTATTATTTTTTTTATACTTAAACTCTTAATTTCAAGATGGTAAAACTTTCGCAAAATAAAAAATTTTATTAGACAAAAGGCGCGTCGAACATCTAACATAAAAGAAATTGAATAGAAAATGAGGGTTTATAGTTTTGGCATTGATAATGATATAATCATATGATTGGACAGCTGATTAATTCTTCTCTTGATTTTTATTTTAAATAATCTGAGAAAACCACGTCAATAGAGAAGAGAAAACTTCCAACATCATTTTTACCAGATATTATAATCTTTGGCTAACGTAGATAGTAGATTGCCTAAAAATAACGTTGTCATCTTTGACAACCTCAAAGGCTTGATCCGATGGGTTAAGACTAACGCTCTGTTTTGCACGGAAAGATGAAAAATTAGGCGAATAAAAAAAATAAGATGAAAAATTAGAAGAATAAAAAAAATTTCATCTTTAGTAAAAGAAAAAAATAAGAAGGATGAAAATGTGGATATATTAATTTTTCTTCTAACTTACAAAAATTAATTTCTCTAAAATCGAAAGAAAAGTAGAAGACAAGTTAATTATTTGTGTTGAGATGTATCTTATTTGTTTATATATATATATATATAAAATAATTTTATATAAAAATACAATGATAAAATATGTATGTATATATATATATTTTAAAAAATTTTAAATATAAAATTAAAAAAATATATATAAAAATATAAAATTAAAAAAAAAGTTCCATCTTAACTAAGGGTGAAAATTTTTCACTCAACACGATGACACGACTCGAACTCGATATAAAAATAAACAGGTTAACTTACAACTCAACATGAAACAATTAATTAAATGAGTTAAGGTAGGTTTGACTAATATTCGACACAAATTCATAATGACTCAACACGAATCTCACACGATACGACACGACATGACTTGACTCGATTGTTACTCTTAATCTTAGCCAGTAAAAAAAAAAATAGTCATTTTTATTTTCTATCCATTCAGTTAAACACAAAAGAAGTAAATTGTATCTTTTCTACTTTTCATCATTTAAGGATAGAAATTATATCCTTCCTACTTTTCATCATTTAAGGATAGAAATTATATCCTTCCTACTTTTCATCATTCTTATTTTTCATTTTTCCTACGAAACGGAGCATAAGAGGACAAAAATTCTAATTGTGGGAAACACTATGGTTTGGTAACGTGTTGAAAATAATAAATAAAAATTTTAAAAATATATTAAATATAAAAAAGGAAAAAATTTCAGTTACTTCTCTTATAGTTTATCATATTTTCAAGACGCTCTATATTTTTTCTGAATCTTCACTTACACTTCTTGTCATCTGAATCTTCACCGACACTCTCTGTCAGATTAAAGATGTTCACAAAAATATAATTTTACTAAATTACCCTTGATATATTTTAAGAAAAATTTTATTTACACCCCCTTTAAATATGCATATCTTCAATAAGGCCCTTCTGTTTTTTAAATTTGTCGATTAAAATCCGATTCGGGCTAATTAAAATTTTATTTTTTACGTATTAAAATTCAAGTCAATTAAGAATTATATATTTTTAAGTATTAAAATTTGAGCCGATTAAAATTTTATTTGAGTCAATTAAAAGTTTTTAATTGGGTCGAATCAAATTGTAATCAACTTGAATCAAATTTTAATTGATACAAATTTTAATAAATTAAAAATAAAAATTTTAATCGGATTCAAGAGAATTTTAATCGGTAATAACAGATCAGATAGAGCTCAAATCGATTCAAATTATAATACATAAAAAAAAAAGAATTTTAATAGGCTCAATTTTTAATACGTAAACAAAATAAATTTAATCAATTTTAATATGCTTAAATTTTAATATATATAAAAAAATAAATTTTAATCAACTCAAATTTTAATGTATAAAAAAATAAATTTTAATCGGCTTGAATTTTAATCCAATTTCATGTATAAAGATTGTTTAGGTTTATGTAGAGGTAATTTTGGTATTTTAGATAATTTTTTTTAATTAAAAATGATGATATAAAGACAGGGAATTTTAGTAATGTTTAAATATAAAATAAATGAGATATCCTTAAAAATATGATAAATTATAAGGGGTGGCTTAAAATTTTTCCCAAAAAAAATTAGTATGGTACTCAATTTTTTTTCCAGTACAGTGAAACCCTCCGTTATTACTGGCACAAACTCAAAGGAAACTAGAAGAACAAAAGGAAAACTTGTTCAAACAATGTTTTTAACTTTTTGTGTCACATTTTTTATATTTTTTTCGTGCTTATTTTTAACTGTTTTTTGATCCTAGGTAAATGCAGGATGGACAATGAAAGGGAAAAAAACAAAAAGGTTTTATTCATTGGATCAGAAAAACAATGTGCTATCGATGGAACTTTTTGGAGCTGCTTTTCACCTTACCTTGGACGCGTGTGCAAATCGTTGTCTTATTATAAGAAAACTTACTGGTCGAGCATGTCAATATAACCTTTTTTTTTTGTATCGTATCTAAAATTAAAAAAAAAAATTAAAAAAAGTAAATTTTATTCTAAAAAATGATAAATTTTACCAAAAAATGTCATAAGTAAATCTAAAAAATTGTAAATGAACCAAATGTTAGTAAGTTCAACTCAAAAGTGGTATAAAAAAATCATAAAACTAATAAGCCATCAAATTTTTTTTTTACCATAATCAAAGAGTCAAGCATAGTCAGAAATGTCAATGGTGGTAGATAAGCGCACCAAACTACCAAGTAGGGTGGTTTAATGGGAGGTACCGACCTTACTCTTTACTTTGAGGTTGAGAGTTCGAGTCTTAAAATTTTTATTGGAGTTTAGTGGTTGACCGCTATACTAACCTAGTTAGGTCTGGTCCCAAGAGGTGTTTCAGGCGCCTCATGATCCCACCGGTGAGGGCCTATTGGGATAGTCGCTAGACACTCTTCTTTGCCCCGCCCCTTATTTATTTATCAAAAAAAAAAAAGATAAGTGCACCAAATCTTTATTTGGGTTGGTTGGTACGACCATTTTGAACCACAAGGCCATTGGTGAATTTCAGTTAAAGAAGGAAATATTGGGTAAAAGTCAGTTTTAAACTATTCATTTTCTCATTATTGATGGTCTCCCATGTTGTGGAATTTCCAAATCTTGGAACAAATCCAATAATGAAACACAAAGGTTGTAATGTCACATCATCATGTACAGATCAAAATCCAGGTGCTAGATTTTGGTACTTGAAAAAAATTATTTTTTTCATACCTTTTTTAGTCAATAAAAAATTGATGCTCTAACATGGTTTTATTATATATTTTTTCTTATAATTAATTATTACAAATAACTCAACCTAAAATCTATGATTTAAAGTCATTTTCTGTATATTAAGATAAATTTTAGAAATTAAGTATGATAAATCAAAATTATTCAAAATGATAAAAGCTTATTTGAAGGTGGCTTTGGAATTTAGAACATGAGGGTAAAAATGATTCAGGCACATAAAAAGTGGGAGCAGGACATGATGCCCCGTGTAGACTATCTCCATTAGTTTGTCTCTCACTACTCCTGACCTAAGTTTTCTGTTCATTAAAGTGCTTTTGTCCAAAGCAGCACTAACTCTCGCTGTAGCAAGTTGTTTTTGTACTGGTTCCGAGAAGGTTACTTGTCATTTCCAGTACAACTCACTTTTCCATCTGGTTTTTCCATCATGAGCAGTATTTTGATTTGACTCTCTTTAATTCTCTATTAAGAGATGAAATAAAGAAATTGAAAGAATAACAAATTAGAGAAATATATATATAAAATTTCATATTTGATAAAGAAAAAAAATAAAACAAATAGTTGAATAAGCTTTCTTTTCCATTCATCAAAATTAATCTTTCTAAATAAAAAAATATATATATATATTTTTTCTATCGTACCAAGCACAAAAAAAAAAAATTATTATTATTTTTATTTTCCATTTATCTTATCAAATACAAAAGAAGAAAAATGTATAATTCTTACTTTTCTTTCTTAAAAGATATAAAATGTATCTTATTTTATTTTTCATCACTTCTACTTTTTATTTTTTCTACCAAACGGAGCATAAAAGAAAATATCAATGCTATAAAGATCACTTTCATATATTATTTTTGTACACCACTTCAATATAAACCGTTAGATTAATAAGTCTTACATAATTTATTAAATATTCAATGACTTAAATTATGTCACATCAGGTGATATAAAAGAGATGGTGTCCACGACATTATTCGAAAAAAAAAAAACCCAAGTAGAACCTCTTTAAATGAAAATATTTTGCTTTATACTTTTGGTGTTGTTTTTAAAATATTGTCGTTTTACACACAAAATAATATCATTCCGTGTGTGTCGTGACGTCGTTTTGAAGAACAGTTCCTCTGCGTGGTCGTAGAAAATGTGCATCCAAACCATTTGATAGAGATGAAATGGTTGGTGCTCGCAAGTAACTTGCTAACAAAACAAGCAAACAAAAGCATATGACATCTTCAATTCAACAAATTTTGTTTGCCAACATTGCCAAAAATTAATGTGAAATGTGGTGGTCTCTGCACCTTCTAAGCTATGATAAAGATTTTTTTTTTTTTCATAACGGAGAACTGCTCCACGCATGGTTTTTAGTTTGTAAAAACAACGCAAGTTTGAGATTCTAAGAATATCCATAAAATACGTGTATCAAATCAAGCAAACGTTTTTATAAGATTCCAAATATGAGACGTGGGTTTATTCACCAAAAACTCTTATATTCTGTTTGGTACGATGAAAAAGTGAGAGGATAAACAATTA